TAGGGGACTCAAAGAAAAGAAGTGTACCTGGTAATACAAATCGGAGTTTGAAGAAGGAGAAGGAGTCCTCGACCCGCAACGGAAACACTCCTAAGGAAGGCCTCCGGAAGTCGAATGAGCGGGAGTGCAGTTGCTCCTCTTGTTCCTGCGGATAGGTCGGGCAGAGCGGCGCCTTTCATGGAAGAGAGAGTCCATGGCAGAGGTACGAGCGAGAAAGGCGGCCAGAGCGCTCTTCTCCTGCTCCTGACCCGTCATGGCACGATCAAAGCATGGCTGTTCATGTAAGAAGAAGACTATAAGAAGAATGGACTTTGATAGCCACTTTCTAGGCCGGTGAAAGGATGTATCTTTCTTTTCCTGCGAGGAGCAACTCTCCTTGTCCTGGAGGCTCTCCGGCCGGCCAGTTCGTCGAGAGCCCATCCACTGCAAAGACCATATGTAAGCACACCTGTACACCTACGGCTTCACTCTGATCCCGGCCTCCACTTCCAAGGGCAAGGAAGAAAAGCAGCATAACCCAGAACGGAACTTTATTCCTTGTGAGAGAGTCCCGCCTTCCGCCTCCGTCTTCTAGTCTGGTCTTTCCTATTGGTGTTGTTCCATCGGGGATTCAGTGTTCCATGCATCGATACCAGTTAAGAATAACTCGTCCATCACCCATGAGATAGGGATCTCGTAGGAAATAGATATATAGGCCAATCCAGCAAAGTTCGAATATCCCTTGTTTTGTGGATCTCCTTAGTCAATGAAATGCTCTGCTTCTGCGCCTCTTCATACTTTTCGCTAGCTAAGCGAGCCCTTCTTGGGAGACCTCTAGATCCCTGCCCTGCGTGTTCCATTCTAGCTACCAGGGTGTTCTTTTTCTTCTCATACGAGATTTCGAAATAAGGTGAAAGATCGGCCACTGAAGGGGAACTAATCAAACTATGGATTTCTCTTATACTTAGCTAAACGACTAAACGAATAGGGTCATCGCTAGTAATCAACTGCTTGTTTTCTTTTAGGCTAGCCTATCTAAAGAGTGAAACTCGTACCTCCAAAGCTGCTCCGAAGCAACTCGTATCTTTGGATCAACAGGCCAACATGGGATTGAACTGGATTGGCCCAATAGATCAATCGCACGAGAACCAACCCTCATGTGTGATTCCCTGAAAAGGGTACCAAACTAGCTTTCTATATGAAATTTGCCTTGTAGAGCTTCCCAAAGGATTTCAATCCACCAAAGGGACTATTCAAAGCGTCCTCTACTTCGTAGGGACTAACCAATAAGGTTCTTCGTTATCCATCTTTCACTAGTGAGCTTCTCCGGTGAAACGGCAAAGTCGCTTCTTAGGTGAAACTGCTTTGTAGTGGCTACGCTGGGATGATTCCCCGTTTGGAAACGAGATACGGGTGTAGATATGTCGACCGGTTGTCACTCAGTCCCAGGGTGTTGACTCGATACTGGTGTTTTAGGCTACGAGTCTTGACTGTTACCCGGTATAGAGTAAAATCATATCACAGTTCCGATCAAAAGAGGAAGAGTCGTTCTATTCCCCAGTTGCAACTCAGTCACAATGCCTTGGGCCGCAGCTTCCTTGCGATATACTTTTCATAGTCCAAGGGTGGGTTGAAAATCCGATCTTTTGCCTATTCGTTTTCGTTTAGAGCTCGGGAATCGATGAAACGGTCTTTGTGAATATCCCAATTAGTGTATACAGTCAAACAATGTATATAGTCAATCTATAAATGAGTGTACAGTCATGAATACAGTGAGTCGATCAATGTGTATTCTATCAAACAATCAGTGTGAAGAGAACGGGGAATCGATTCATTCATCACTGGGCTGTGCGGTGTGAACGTGGGGAGTATGATTGGTTTAGTAAGCACCAACCAATTGGGGATTGAAGTGTAGGACCGGTTAGGGTGTTGAGTTGATACTGGTTTAGTAGCTATACGAGGATTTCCCACGGCAAAGTCGCTTTAGACAGGTTGGTTTTCGTCGACTCCGACCTTTTCCGATATAGCTTGTAGGTTAGCGTTTAGTCGATACAGAGTTTCCGGTTAGGCGAGTTAGACGGTTTTCCGCCCTTAGCCACACCTCTGCTTTCTCGTTCACTGCCTTTCGCTTCGGCGGCTGCGTTTTTCGTTTTATACGGGTTTAGTCGACGGGTTTCCGCACCGGTGGCTGCCTCGGATGAGACCCTTTGCCTTACCCTGGAACTCTATAGTTCCCCTCTCACCCGGCTTAATATCAGGATTTCTTACCAGAAAAGAATCGGCTATTGAGTAGGCACTCGTAGCAGCAAGATAGGTTGTCTTTGCTCTGTCCCTGAGTCATGTCCTAAGAGAATGATAGACTTACCTATTCATAGCCTTAGCAGTAGCTTCATCGACTACCAAAAGGCCGGAGCAGGATCCGAAGCGGTGTCTATTTCATCATACCAGTTTCATTTCAGAGCAGTAGAAGGCCCATTGGTCACGCTTCTCTACGTTTCCTTTCAATATGCAAAATGGAAACCTTCATTGCTTTGTCGGGAAGTTTGTCCTTGGCATACGCCTTCTTGCGCTTAGAATGACTGATCTGAGTATGCCTTTGTCTAGTCGATAGTCTGGTAGTGCGCGTCTCTCTGTATCGGATGTTCCTATTTAGAGAGTCGTCTTCCTCTGAGAGTGGAGTTCGCGGAGACTTCACTGAAGGTCCTGAAGCAGGATAGCCTAATTGCGGTTGACGATGTGGTCGCTTTAGTTTCATGTCCGCCTTGCTTGCCATAGCCTTTATATGATATGGATCGGGTTTGCCCACTGCTTCATCTGCAAGTGCTGGTACATCTATGTTGTCAGTTCCTTGATTCTTACAAGAAGAAGTTTTTAGATCCGATTTATCCTTACGAGATTTTTCGCAATGAATAATTTAGCTACAACTCTGTATAGACTAAACGAACAACCGGGGAAGCTGCAGTCGTCCTATATGCGCTGCAGCTACAAAGCACCTATTTCTGAGGGACACAGGGGACAATCGGTGCATGGGGAAGTGAAGGGAAGCTACGACCGGCAAAGCAGCAACACCAGTATCGGTACTAGTATCGTGGTATCGAAAGCAGCCTAACCTCCAAGCAGAAACAAACTCTGTATCGTATCGACACAACCCGTATAAAGCGACTTTGCAGTATCGACTAAACCGCCTTACCGGTAATCGACTGGAGCGCAACATGACTATAATATCAAAATGGAAAAAAACAAAATGATACTCAAGACTGGCTATCTCTCTCTTTATATACAAAAGGCGAAGAGTGACTACTGATTTATTCTCGTAGTTCCTCTCTTGTTAGTGTAGTGATACGGATACTCCTCTATGCGAATGTTCTGGCTTTCAAAAGACGAGTAAGAGGCGACCGATCTGTCTATTCTTATTCTACCGGTAAGTGAGATAATAAGCCTTTCTCGCCTTACGCAATAGCAGGGAGGGAAATCGAATATGACACTTGACTTGTGACTTTCCTTCAAGCAGGAATAGGAATGAATCCATAAGCTGCTATCGAACCGTCTCTTGCGAGAAGAAGGGTCTTCAAGAGGGTGGAAAAAGGGCTTGTGCAACCAAGAAAACGAATGCGCGGGAACAAGCTTAGGCGAAGGGAATGCGGAATCAGAGCAGCTGTCTAATATGTGACTCAGAGACCGTTTGAAGACCAACCAGCACAAGAATTGAGTTCTAACGGAACTTGACCAACGAGGTGCAGGATCGATAAGCAGCTCCACCAATTCGCAATTTCACTGAAACTGAGAGAATTGACATGGCCAATGGCCCAAAACAAACGAGAAGAAAAGATAGGGGGTGGCCGGCTCCTCTCTATTAGCGAGAGAAAGAAAAACTCTGACTGGCCTTCTATATTTATGAAAGAGTCGGGATCAAATTATGGTGAGTTATCTCTTTAGAATCTTATAAGAAAACAAATGTCCTTCCGGGGCGACGGCACTCCATTTCAAAGGTGAGAAGCGAAAGGGGTAAGCCCGGACACAGACCGTATAGGTATTCTACTCAAAGAAATAAGTAAGGGAACTCTAGGTGATAAAGAAAGAAAGGAAAGGAGGCGCCTTCAATCGAAAACCGGGGTAGGGGGCAACATCGATTCCTTATTTGATTTCTCAGTATGTGCGCAATCAAAGCCCTTTGGCAAAGAAAGACTAAGCATAAACGGCATTAGGTTCGGAGCGAACCATAGGAAGAAGGGATAAGAGCGGTTAACGCCGATTGACCGAAAGTTGCAGGCGCGGGGACACTCATTAGATTAGTTATGCCATTCTCTATAACAACATAAACAAAAGAGTGACGAGCTATACTATAAAGGAAAGAGCTATTGACCCGAGCTCCACTCCGGGAGAAAGCCCTAAATGCGACAGACACTCCCAGCACCTATTAGTCTTAATGATAGGTTGAGTATTCTATCTTCCCATAACCTAGCCCATTTCAATATAAAGGTCTCATTCAATGCAATTTATAAGCTTTTCCATTAAGCAAGACAAGATGGAAGTGATCCCCTGTTCGAAATGCAAATCATAGTATTGGAACTAGGGTAAAGCGCTCTTGATGTAAATTGATCTGTAGTAAAGGGCAGGCACATACGCAAAGGAGATTCAATGAAAGAGCTAGGGTTTGAGTAAGCTCCTCCTGAAAAAGATTGGCTTTTCACATCGTTCAAATTGAATTCATTTATGACCTTGAAAGCTTCAATTGGTCTTTTCGAGACCTTCCTCTTAGGAGAGAATAAAGACAAGAAAGAGGATACTCTTTCAACAAGGCTACGAGTTCTGGCATACTTGAGGATGTCCTACTTCTATTTCATCTTTCATCGAACCCTACTGAACTCAATCAATATCCTAAGCTGAATCCTACCTCTAAACCACCAACAGCGGGAGAGCCGACATGAAATGATAGATGTGCAGCGCATTCTGTAAGGCTAACAACGCATTCTCTAACAGGAATAGCAAAGACCCCTTCTTCCTCTTGTATGAGTTTTTAG